GGGGGGGGGGCTGCCTGGACCTTCATGGCTGAGTTCCCCCTCCTTGTTGGGAGCCAGGCTGAGGCATCTCTTGTGCAAAGGTGTGCATTGCCCATGGGGCTGCCTGGGTGCTTCCCACTCCACACCGGCCCCGATACTTGGCTGCCTGGTGTCCTCTCTGCTGCCAGAGATCCAGAGGGTTGCTCTCCCTCCTTGCCTTCTTCAGATGAGCCCTCCTCCATTGCATTTGGAGGCAAGGGAGCCAGTCTCCCTTCCTTGGGTCAGGAATTGTGCCAGTGAGGGAGGGGGTTATGGTCCACCCCACCCCAAGTGTGGCAGAGAACTTCCCTCGGGAACCCTGTGGGATTCCTCCTCCTGCTGGGAAGAGGCTCAACAGCGGCCGACTGGGGGAGCCCCACAAGGGATCCCTCCAAGGCATCCCGGAGGGGTCCTTGCAGCCTGTTTGCCGACCGACCGCCTTGTCCATTCCTTGTGTGCCCTTTTTGCTCCTTGTGCAGGCGCTGGTTCTCCATCCAGAACAACCAGCTGGTCTACCAGAAGAAGTTTAAGGTCAGTGCTGACTCTTCTGGCGGCCTCCCTCCCTCCCTCTTCCTCTTCATATAGGAGGTGGTCGAGAGGTAGAGCCAAGGTCTGTGGGAGTGGGGGTCCCACGCTTGCAGCCCCGCACCCACCCCTGCCTTCCTTCCATCCTTCCTTCCTCGCCTTCTCCCCCTCAGGACAATCCCACCGTTGTGGTGGAAGACCTGCGGCTCTGCACCGTCAAGCACTGTGAGGACATTGAGCGCCGCTTCTGCTTCGAGGTGGTCTCTCCCACCAAGTGAGGACAGAGCGGGCAGGAGGGGGGTCTTTCTTTTGGTGGTTGTGGGCCCACCTCCTGGTCCCAGGTGCTGCATCTCGGGCCAAAGGGGGTTTGGGGGAGGGGCGCTGGGGATCTGCTTGTGGGGTGCTGCCTTGTGGTGGGGCCTCCTTTCCCTGTGGCACAGCAGCTGGCCTCCCCCCCCCCCCCAAGCCCGGCTTCCAAATGTGAAATGGAGAGTTGGCCCACAGCCAGGAGCTTGGCCCAGGTCCTGCTTTGGAGACTGGCCGAATGAAATATGAGAATGCCGGTGTTCGAAAGAGCTCCACAGACCCTTTTGTCTTAGTCTGTGTGGGAAAACAGCAATCCAATCTGAGGGTGGGTCTGTACCCCTGAACTGGGCCCCATCAGGCACTCTCCCTTGGCAGGAGCTGCATCCTCCAGGCAGACTCGGAGAAGCTGCGCCAAGCCTGGATCAAGGCCGTGCAGACCAGTATCGCCACGGCTTACCGGGAGAAAGGAGAAGAGGCCGAGGTGAGCACGGGGGGGGGGGGGGGGGGGGGGGGGGGGGGAGGGGTCTTTGTGGGGAAGGCAGGGAGCGGGCTTCTCTCAACTCAGGCAGGGTCTCCGGCCTGGACCTCTTCAGGTGGTTGGGGGAGCAGGGTAAGAGCAGCTGGTGGGCTGGTCAGCCCCCAAAGGCCTGAGGTCTCTCTTGCCAGTTTGGCCTCCTTTGGTGTGGAATGGCCTTTCCTGAAGGGGCGGGTGAGTGGCAGGCAGGGAGCCCTTGCTGAGACATGCTGGGCAAAGCAAAGGCCTTGACAAGAGGAAGTGGCCAAAGAGGCCTGGGCACAGCAGGTGTGCTGAAAGCAGGGCTTGTCCACCTTCCACAAGCACCTGCGGGCCGCCATTGACGGTGCCCCGTGCCCTCTTTCTTCTTCCGCAAGGGGGAGAGGAAGCTGGCCCCTTTGGCAGGGAGCCCTGAGCCTGGCGCAGAGTCCAAGGAGAAGCTGCTGAAAGGGGAGAGCTCCCTCCAGAGGGTCCAGAGCATTGCGGGCAATGCACTCTGCTGCGACTGCGGCCTGGCGGACCCACGGTGGGCAAGCATCAACCTGGGCATCACCCTCTGCATCGAGTGCTCTGGCATCCACAGGTGGGTCATCCCCGGGGGGCCTGGCTGCTTCTTGCTCAAGGCTTTGCCCCCTTCCCCACCTCCCGCCTCGCTCACGGGCCCCTCTCTTCCCTGTCTCTCACCAGGAGCCTGGGCGTCCATTTCTCCAAAGTCAGGTCCTTGACGCTGGATTCGTGGGAGCCGGAGCTCCTCAAGGTGGGACAAGGGGGTTGGGAAGGGCTGGGGCGGGTGGGCGGGCAGCTTACCTGTGTGGCTTGAGGCAGCACTTGCACCCCCTCTCTGGCACGGAAGAGGCCACCAGTGGCTGTGAAGGAGGGGGAGTCCTGGCTCTGGTCCCTGGGCCCTTTGTCACTTTGTGTCAGGAGGGCTTGGGTGGTGTGCTTCATTTGTAACAGAAAGGCAGTGGGCTGCATAGCCCTTGGGGGCCCCTTCCAACTCCAGGGTTCCATGGTTCTCTCCCTTGCAGCTGATGTGTGAATTGGGGAACGATGTCATAAACAGTATTTACGAAGCAAACCTCAAGGAATCCGCTGCCAAGAAGCCTCTGCCAGGAAGCGACAGGTAATGGCTCCCTTTTCTGCTCCAGGAGGCCCATCGCGGAGCTCACCCCATCCATGTTGAGGGGTGCAATGATGTCATATTGTGCACCTACTTGCCAAAGCCACAGCGGAAGAGCCAGGTTTTAAGGTCCTTTTTTAACGTTTCTAGAGAAGATGGCAGGTCCTGTGGCATCTTGGACCACAGAGATAACTGTATTGGCGCTCGGAATAATGAAGCTTGGAATCTCAGTTTCTGCCTCTGGTGCTTTACCAAGACATTTGCTTCAGCATTTGCCTGGGCAGCGCAGAGGTCGTTTAGGGGCCAGGAAAGGAGTCGCTGTGCATCCATGGCAATGCACAATGTCAAATCACTCATTTTCATGCAGATAATAATAAAACTTTGTTTACAACCCACCCTCTCTGGGCGGAAGAGCCTGAGCCCCCTCTCCACCCTCCCTCTCCCACTCGTTGCATGGGGCAGGGGCTTCTCAGCAGAGGCCCCAGTGTCTCAGGGGGCCTTTCTTTCCTCTGTGCCCAGGCAGGAGAAGGAGGAGTACATCCGGGCCAAATACGTGGCCAAGAGGTTCGTGGCCAAGCGCCCAGCTACCCCTGCTGGACCAGGAGGGAGGCCTCCCCCACGGCCCAGGCCAGAGGAGCCCCAACTGCAGAGCGCCCCTGAGGAGCCCCCGCCTGGCCCTGGGAAGGAGCAGCAGCAGCAGGAGGAGGAGGAAGGGGAGGCACGCCTGAAAGGTAACCCCCGTCCTCCCCACACACCTTGGACTTTGGGGGAGAAAGGAGCCCCACCCACTGCCTTCTCCTTCTCTCTCTTTCTCTCTTCTTGTCTTTCTGCCTCTCTCTCTCTCTCTCGAGATGCCTGCTTGGAGGAAGGGCGCCTGAGGAGGAGCCTGGGGGTCTTTCCAGGGAATGGGAAGAGGCAGCGGCCACCGGCTTTGGCCAAAGCTCTGGACAGACAGGAGGCTGGGAAGGGAGAGGGAGGAGGGCTGGCATCCCAAGGCGGGCAACTGGGGAGACTGGGCTGCTCAGTGGGGGCCATTGGGGTGGGTGCATGGGTCACTCTGGATGCTCTGCCACCTACTAACCAGCTGGTTTCCTTCCCATTTTCCTCCTCCTCCTCCTCCTCCTCTTCACGGCCTTCCTCCCTCCCTTCCTTCCTCCCTTCCTTCCTTCCTTGGGCCTCTTGCGCTGCGCTTTGCTAATTGCATGCCCCAGTGGTTGGCTTAAGTAGTGACCAGGCCAGGCGGGAGTCTCTCTTCTGCCCCGATGAGCTAGACTCGCTCTTCTCCTACTTTGATGCCTCCTCAAAGATGCGCAGCAGTAAGTACCGCTCTCAGGGCGCTTCTCCCCGCTGCCCGCCCGCCTGCCCGCTGCTGCTCCGGCCGTTTCTGTGTCCTCCAACCACCGGCTCCAATGCTTTATCCGTTGATCCATCTGTCCGCCCGTCAGAGAAGGAGCAGTTTGGACTCTGCTTGGCTCAGATCGCTTGCGGCTGGCCCTTTTGGCAAGGATGCGGGGGACGAGGGGCGGTGCCCAAGTGAGGCAGACCCAGGGAGCTTGGCTTTGTGTCCATTGCCTGCCTGCCTGCGCCTGTGCCTGTCTCTGTGTTGGTTGGGTGAGAAGGCCACCTCAGCCCTCCCAGTCTCCTAAGGGCTCCTCTTTCTTGAAACAGTGCAAAGCAGTGAAAGTGGGTTCCATCCCAGTGTGGACGACAACAGAGGGCACCCGGCCGCAACCTTGCCTGCAGGAGCCTTGCAGGAGCCAGGTAGGAAAAAGGGGCCTGCGGCTAATTCCTGCCTTGGCCAGACTTCTTGTCTTGGGGACCTTCTCAGGGCTGAGGAGGGTTTGTTTGTTTGTTTGTTTGTTTATTTATTTACTTACGACATTGATATGCCACCCTTCTCACCCCAAAGGGGACTCAGAGCAGCTTACAAGTAAAAAGCAAATACAATATATTACCATAGCACAATATTAATATTATATATTACTATATTGCACTATACCATTATACTGTAATATTATTAGTAATATTACATTTAATATAAAATATATAATTATATTATTATTAGTAGTATTATATTGTATTACATTTATAATATTATCAATATTATAAGTATATACAATATGTATTGTTGAAGGCTTTCATGGCCGGAATCACTGGGTTGTTGTAGGTTTTTTCGGGCTATATGGCCATGTTCTGGAGGCATTCTCTCCTGATGTTTCGCCTGCATCTATGGCAAGCATCCTTAGAGGTAGTGAGGTCTACCTCTATTATATATTTATTATATTATATTATATTCAGAGTGCAGTAAACTTCACTCTTCACTCTGATCTCAGCGCAGCAGTTGGTGCTGGAGGGGGCAGGGCGGAGGAGGGGGGCTTCCAACCGATGACACTGGAGGCAAAATGAATCTGCCTTCCTGGCCCCTTTCTTCACTCTGATCTCAGAGCAGGGTTGTCTTCTGCAAACCGGAGCATTCCAATAGCAAGAAGTTCCACCTCGCCATTACAGGACAACTTCTTGGCTCTAGGGTGTCGGTCTCCAGATGTTTTGGCCTTTAGCTTCCAGACATCCTAACAGCTGGTAAACTGGCTGGGATTTCTGGGAGTTGTAGGCCAAAACACCTGGGGAGGGACCCACAGGGTGAGAACCGCTGCCCTAAGAGCTGTGTGAGAGGGGTGTGGGCTCCAGGGTGGGTGGTGGGCTTGGACCAGGTGACTTGCACGGTCCCTCCAACTCTGAAGAACTTGTGAATGGGGTCCTAGAGCTTGGCCCTTGTGTATGTGGGGGTGGGGCGCTTTGGCTCATCTGCTCAGGGGAAGGGGCTGCAAGAAACCCTCTTGCTCTTTGCTTCCAGGGGGGGAGCGCCCTGCAGCCCCCGCCCCTGCTGCCCACAGCCCTGCGGCCAGTGCCTTCTCTTCCTCCTCCTCCTCCTCCTCGCTGGACGCGGAGCAGTTCCTGGCGGGGCAGGAGCTCTACCAGGCTGCCTACGAGAAGAGCCTGCCCCGCATGGCAGAGGCCCTGGCCCATGGCGCAGGCGTCAACTGGGTCAACGCAGAGGAGAACCAGGCCACACCTCTGATCCAGGCCGTCCGCGGGGTGAGTGCTCGCCCGCCCACCCTCCCTTCTGTGGCCAGCGTAGGCCAAGGGGGACCTGGGGGGGGGGGTGCTCTCCCTGTGGCTCTGCTCTGAAGCCCTTCACTGTCCTCCTTCCCCTTGGCAGGGCTCCTTGGTCACGTGTGAGTTCCTGCTCCAGAACGGGGCCAACGTCAACCTCAGGGATGCCCACGGCAGGGGCCCCCTGCACCACGCCACGGTCCTCGGGCACACGGGGTGAGTGAGTGAGCGAGTGAGTGAGTGAGCAAGTGGCCTTGGGTTCTCCGGAGCCCCCCTGGGCCCTCCCTCTCGGCTGGCTCTGACCCCTTCCTTGTGATAGGAATCTGGCAGGCTTTGCCCTGAAGGGACTTGCAGCCCTCGGCCTCCTCGGGTTCCTGGCCTTCCCTTGCATGTCCATTGCTGGGTTGGATCCCTCCCTCCCCCCCCCCACTTTGCTCTGGGCCCCTGGCCATGTGTGGCCCTTCCTTTGAACAGGCAGGTCTGCTTGTTCCTGAAGCGGGGCGCCAACCAACACGCCACAGACGAAGACGGGAAAGACCCCCTGAGCGTGGCCATAGAAGCCGCCAACGCAGACATCGTCACCCTGTGAGCGTCGTCCTCTGGGCAACAGTCTTGGATTGGGGGTGGCTCTCGGGACCCTCACACACCCAGCCCGGCCTGCGCCCAGGGTCAAGAGAAGCACCAGTTCTTCTGGGCCATGTGTGCAGCCCCTCCTCAAAGCCCCCTCTCCTGGGCTTTCCTTGGCAGGCCCCTTGGCTTTGGGATGGGACCGTGCTCTGCGCCCAGCACCCACTCTTCCCCTCATGACTTGGGCTGTGCAGCCCCTGAAGGGAGGGGTCCCATGGGGTCCTTGTGGAGAGCGCAAGAAGGGGTTTGGGGTATTACGGCCTCTTTTGGGGCTGCCTTTGCCCCCCTCCCTGGCTTCCTCCCACTGACGTGGCACTTCTCTCCGCAGGCTGCGCCTGGCCCGGATGAACGAAGAGATGCGGGAGTCGGAAGGGCTGTACGGTCAGCCAGGTCAGGCCCCCAACACCCACACCGAGATGCAGTACCGGACTTGCATGCAGGAGTTCATTAGCCTGCAGCTCGACCAGGCTTAGCTCTTTAGGCCGGGGCAGAAGGCATGGGTGGGGGTCAGGTGGTGACGGTAGGGGTGGGCCTCCCCTGACTTTTGACACCCTCACCCCTGGAAGTTGGCTTGCTCTGGAGCAAGGGGTCCAGCCCCTCCCAGGTATCATATCCCTTTGGCACACCGCTGCCTCAGGAGTCCTGGAGGTTGGAGGGCCCGCGAGAGCTGACCGTTGGCTTCCCAGCCTGGGCCCCACTCCCTTAGGCTTGACCAGGAAAAGGGAGGGCCTTCAAAGCCTTCAGGCCTTCAGACCTTCAGGGTGCAGCACCCGCTGTGCTGGCAGCAGAGTGAGGGGGCTTTTGGAGGAGTGCAGGGGTGGGAGGCCCACCTTCTGGGGCCCAGGGGTCTCATTCTGCTCCCCTGGGGCTCTGGGTCTGGCCATGGCAAGCTCTGGCTGGCGTTTCTTGCAGGCCTTCTTTGTCCTGAGGGGGGGGACACCTGCAGTTTTGGGTCTCCGGAGGGGGGGCGCTCTTTGGGATGCACTCCTTTAGGGAAGACCCTGGGTGGGTTGTGTTGTTGGAGGGGCACTTGACACACTTCCTCCCTCCTTTCTCCTCTTCCTCCTCGTCTTCCTCCTCAGAGCAGCTCCCCTTTTTCTGTGTGGAAGGAAATGGGGTGGGGTGGGGAACCCCAGAGAGCACTTTGAATGTTTCTAGAGGGTGATACCCTTGAATGTAGTGTGGAATCCAAGGGCACTTTAGTTTTCTTATTGTGGTTATTGTTGCCATGATTTTGGTCAGGGTTTTCTCCTTCCATTTTGAGCTGCCAAAAAATTGCATCCAAAGACAAGGGAGTGCCCCCCCCCTCGGGACTGCTTCCAGGGGGCCAGTCCTTTTGCTGCTCCCAGTTTCAGAGGCTGGTCTCTGGAGCCCTTCCTTCTTCTCCCTGGCCAAGGGTCCTGGCTTCTCCATGGCACAAATGCCCTCTGCACAAGAAAAGCACTGGCTGGACCCTCACTGAGGGATGTGGTGGCTCAGGGTTAGGGTTAGCGCCTTTCCTGGGGGGGGGGGGGGGTGGGGGAAGAAGGGCTGTTGACTTGCACTCCATGCCACCCTTGAGTTGCCATTAGGGGGAGGCAGACCTCCATCCCTCCTCAAATACCTCAGTTCTGCTACTCAGGAGACCCCCCCCCTGCCTCCACTTCTCCTTGCCTTGCTGGGCCCCTTCCAGGGACTTCGGGGGCTCTTTCCTTTCTGTGGGGGGGGGGTTGTGCCAGGGGCTGCTGCTGCTTTTCTCTTTTCCGTTCTGCTTGCCTTGCCTTTCTTCTAACTCTGAGCTTTCCTGCCTGGCTGCCTGCCTGCGAGGGCCTCGCCTCAGGTATTTATTATTTTGGAGTGGGGGGGGGTCGGGGGAGGGGACAGGGGCACCCTTCCCCAGAAAGACAGGCCTGAGTTCCCTCTTCCCTTCTTAGTGTTGAGACTGAGCAGTGCATGCCTTCCAAATGGGGGAAGCCAGTCGTCGATGTAGGGGGGTCGTGGAAGAAGAGGGGCCAGGACACGGAGGGGCTGCTGTTGGCCTAACCCTAACCCTAACTCTGGCCTGCGGCCCACTTGCTTTCAGCCTGGCTTATGAATTGGGGTCAGGCGGGGGGGGGGTGTTGTAGGCCTGAGCTGCTTTGAGGAAACACAGCTTCCATTATTCCGAGGCCCCGGGAGTAGAACCCTGTTGTGGCCGCACAGACTGCAGAAGGGGGGGGGGGTGCCCTTGACCCCCTGGGCCCCTCCCCCTCTTACTCTTCCCCTCTCCTGATGCCCTTTCTCTTCCTCCTCCGCAGGGGATGAGACCTACCAGGACATCTTTCGGGACTTTTCACAAATGGCTTCCAATAACCCCGAGAAGCTGAAGCGCTTCCAGCCTCCGGAGGCCCCCCACAAGCCGTGAAGGGCCCTCGGGGCCGGAGTGAGGGGGCCCTCCTCCTCCCTGTGCCCCTCCCTCCCTCTCTGTGTATGGAGCCCCCCTCCCCATCCCCCTCCCCTTTTTATACATAAAGGCTGCTTTCATTAGGCACCCTCTCTTGCCCTCTCTTTGCCCACTTCAGAGGATTGGGGGGAGGGGGATTGCTGTGTGTTGTGTTCTGTTGTGTTTGGGGGGGGACTTGGGGGGAGGGGAGCATCATTCTGAAGAGACCACCTAATTCACCTCCTGCCAGAATGCAACCTTTTTGAATGCTATTAATTTTGAGTGTGATGCACAGCTCAGAGTGACAGGCGTCACAAACACACCATTTGGGCAACCAAAAAATAAAATAAAAGAACTTCCTGCAGGATGGACTGAGAGGCAGGGAAGGGGGAATCCTCCAGGGGGCCCTCCAACCCACCTTCCTCTGCTGGTTCACAAGCCAAACACCCCCAAGAGAGGCCCATCCAGCCTCTGTTGAAAAGCCTCCAGGGAAGAAGACCCCTTTCCTGGAGAGGATTGGCCCAGGGATCGGATTCCGGGAAAGAGGGGCTGTGACTCCCCTCCGCCTGGGCATTCCACTCCTTGCACAGCAGGCAGCCCAGGATCGCACTGGCCTTTTGAGCTCCTGCATCACACCACTTGCTCATGTTCAGTCATGCATAGGACTATTGTGAAGGCATGACAGTGTGACTTCCCTCCACCTATCCGGGCACTCAGCGCCTCTGGATGTGCCCTTGCATCGCCTTGGCCTCTTTCACTGCTGCGTCACCCTCTTGGTCTCTCTCCTAAGCCAGGCCCCTCCCCTTCCCTTCCCTTCCCAGGAACTGTTTCGCCAAGGAGTGCTCTCTCTCTCTCTCCGTCTCCCTGGGGAGGGGTGCCACAAAGTTTCTGGCCCAACTTACCTATTTAAATGCATCTCCCCTTATGAATAATCTAGGACCTTAAGATCATCTGGGGTAGCCCTACCCTCATTGCCGCCTTCGTTACAAGTATGTTTGGCGGAGATGAGACAGGACCTTCTCGGTGGTGGCCCCTCAGCTGTGGAACGCCCTCCCTATAGATATCAGATTGGCCCCCTCCCTTTTAACATTCCGGGGAAAAGTCAAGACCTGGCCTTTTTTTTTTTTTTTTTTTTTGCAAATGCAGAGTAATGGACATAGGACATCGGAACGACTAAACCAGGGGTCCTCAAACTAAGGCCCGGGGGCCGGATACAGCCCTCCAAGGTCATTTACCCGGCCCTCACTCAGGGTCAACCTAAGTCTGAAACGCCTTGAAAGCACACAACAACAACAACAATCCTACCCCATCAGCCAAAAGGAGGCTCACACTCCCCATTGAAATACTAATAAGTTTGTATTTGTTAAAATTGTTCTTCATTTTAATTATTGTATTGTTTTAAAGTGGGGTTTTTTGCACTACAAATAAGGCATGCAAAGTGCATAGGAATTCATTCATTTTTTTTCCAAATTATAATCTGGCCCTCCAACAGTTTGAAGGACTGTGACCTGGCCCTCTGTTTAGAAAGTTTGAGGACCTCTGGACTAAACCATGAGACTGGACAGCCTTTTTAACGAGATTTATATTTTATTTATTTATTTGTGGATTTATATATTTGTATTTATTATAAATTTATGTATTATATTTATTATTTTATTTCTGGTTTTATATTTTATTGGTTGTGTTTAGTTTTTATTATGTGTAATGTTTTATTTGTATTTATGGTATTAAAAGCATTGACTTTTACTCTGTAAACCGCCTTGAGTTGCCTGTGGGCTGAGAAAGGCGGGATACAAATACAGTAAATAAATAAATAAATACATACATATTTATGTATATGTACAACAACATCCAGCAATACATGGAGCGAGAGTTGCCAGATGTTCAAGCTGGGTTTAGAAAAGGCAGAGGAACCAGAGACCAGATTGCCAATATCCGCTGGAGAATGGAGAAAGGCAGGGAGTTTCAGAAAAACATCTACTTCTGCTTCATTGACTATTCTAAAGCCTTTGACTGTGTGGATCATCATAAATTGTGGCAAGTTCTTAGTGGGATGGGCATCCCAAGCCACCTTGTCTCTCTCCTGAGGAATCTGTACAAGGACCAAGGAGCAACAGTCAGAACTGACCACGGAACAACAGACTGGTTCAAGATTGGGAAAGGCGTACGGCAAGGCTGCATCCTCTCACCCAACCTTTTAACCGTGTATGCAGAACACTTCATGCGAGGATGTGCAGGGCTTGAGGAATGCAAAGCTGGGGTGGAAATGGCTGGAAGAAACATTAACAACCTCAGATATGCAGATGACACCACTCTGATGGCCGAAAGCGAGAAGGAGCCGAGGAGCCTTCTCATCAAGGTGAAAGAAGAAAGCGCAAAAGCCGGGTTGCAGCTGAACGTCAAAAAAACCAAGATTATGGCAACAAGAATGATTGACAACTGGAAAATAGAGGGAGAAAATGTGGAGGCCGTGACAGACTTTGTATTTCTAGGCTGCAAAGATTACTGCAGATGCAGACTGTAGCCAGGAAATCAGAAGACGCTTCCTTCTTGGGAGGAGAGCAATGTCCAGTCTCGATAAAATAGTGAAGAGTAGAGACATCAGACTGGCAACAAAGATCCATTGCAGTCAAAGCCATGGTCTTCCCTGTAGTCACCTACGGATGTGAGAGCTGGACCTTAGGGAAGGCTGAGCGGAGGAAGAGAGATGCTTTTGAGCTGTGGTGTTGGAGGAAAGTGCTGAGAGTGCCTTGGACTGCGAGAAGATCCAACCAGTCCATCCTCCAGGAAAGAAAGCCCGGCTGCTCATTGGAGGGAAGGAGACTAGAGGGAAAGTGGAAGTCCTTTGGCCACATCATGAGGAGACAGCAAAGCCTAGAGAAGACGATGCTGGGGAAAGTGGAAGGCAAAAGGAAGAGGGGCCGACCAAGGGCAAGATGGATGGATGGCATCCTTGAAGTGACTGGACTGACCTTGAAGGAGCTGGGGGTGGGGACGGCCGACAGGGAGCTCTGGCGTGGGCTGGTCCATGAGGTCACGAAGAGTTGGAGACGACTGAATGAATGAACAACAACAACGTTTTATTTGTATTTATATTATTAAAAAGCATTGACTTTTACTCTGTAAACCGCTTTTGGCTGAGAAAGGCGGGATACAAATACAGTAAATAAATAAATTCATATACATAAATAGATAATAAAAGGGCGTGCGCCCCCCTCTTTTGAACAGGGGCTGGGTGGCCATCTGTCAGGGGTGATTTGAATGCAATATTCCTGCTTCTTGGCAGAAGGGGGTTGGACTGGAGGATGGCCCAGGAGGGGGTCTCTTCCCACTCTTGGATCCTATGAGTGGTCTCCAGCCAAGGAGGAGTGGGCTTGGGCGGGGGCGCCTGGACAGCTTTGGCGCCATTGGAGTTGTTTTCCGCTTACGTCACGCAGGATACGTCACCGCCCTTCCCCTGCCGCCCCGCTAGGGGGCCCCCTCAGCCAGGCAGGCAGGCAGGCTCCTCTAAGCCAGCCTTCCCTCGCTGCTGCTCCTCATTGGCTTCGCCTTGGCCGGGGGCGTGGCCTCTCCTCACCCGTTCTCCAATGGCGGCCTCCTTCTCGAGCTCCTCTAAGCCACGCCTTCTCCTGGGGGCGTGGCCTCCCTCAGCCCGTTCTCCAATGGCGGGCTCCTTCTTCTCTAAGCCACGCCTTCTCTGCCCCCTATTGGCTGCGTGTAGGCTGGGGGCGTGGCCTCCCTCTGCCCGTTCTCCAACGGCGGGCTCATTGGTCTTCTCTAAGCCACGACTTCTCCCGGGGCCGTGGCCAGCAGGGGGCCTCCTCCTGTTCCTCATTGGCTGTGTGTAGACTGGGGGCGTGGCCTCTCCACCCGATCTCCAATTACGGCCTCCTCCATGGGCTTCTCCCGGGGGCGTGACCAGCAGGGCCCCTCCTCCTGTTCCTCATTGGCTGTGTGTAGACTGGGGGCGTGGCCTCTCCACCCGATCTCCAATTACGGCCTCCTCCATGGGCTTCTCCCGGGGGCGTGACCAGCAGGGCCCCTCCTCCTGTTCCTCATTGGCTGTGTGTAGACTGGGGGCGTGGCCTCCCTCAGCCCGTTCTCCAATGGCGGCCTCCTCCATGGGCTTCTCCCGGGGGCGTGACCAGCAGGGCCCCTCCTCCTGTTCCTCATTGGCTGTGTGTAGACTGGGGGCGTGGCCTCCCTCAGCCCGTTCTCCAATGGCGGCCTCCTCCATGGGCTTCTCCCGGGGGCGTGACCAGCAGGGCCCCTCCTCCTGTTCCTCATTGGCTGTGTGTAGACTGGGGGCGTGGCCTCCCTCAGCCCGTTCTCCAATGGCGGCCTCCTCCATGGGCTTCTCCCGGGGGCGTGACCAGCAGGGCCCCTCCTCCTGTTCCTCATTGGCTGTGTGTAGACTGGGGGCGTGGCCTCCCTCAGCCCGTTCTCCAATGGCGGCCTTCTTCTCTTTGGTCTTCTTTAAGCCTAAGCCTTCTCCTATGGGCTTGGCCAGAACGTGTGTCCCTTATTGGCTGCGTGTAGGCCGGGGGTGTGGCCTCTCTCCGTCCGTTTATCCAATGGCGGGGTCCTTTTGCTTGCTCTTCTCTAAGCCCCGCCTTCTCCTGTGGGCGTGGCGAGCAGCGGGGTCCCCTATTGGCTGCGTATCATTGGGGGCGTGGCCTCCCTCCGCCTGTTCTCCAATGGCGGGCTCCTTCTCCTACTCCAAGCCACGCCTTCTGTGGGCGTGGCCGGAACCTGTGCCGCCTATTGGCTGCGTGTAGGCCGGGGGCGTGGCCTCCCTCAGCCCGTTTATCCAATGGCGGGGTCCTTCTCCTTGCTCTTCTGTAAGCCCCGCCTTGTCCTGTGGGCGTGGCCAGAAGCGGGACCCCCTATTGGCTGCGTGCTTCTTCTTCCGGGATGGCGCCGTGCGGGCTGCCTCGTCCGTGCGTGCTGGCGGCGGCGGCGTCCCTGGCGGTGGCGCTGGGGCTGTACTACGCGGGGGGGGGCCCCTCCCCTCCTCCCCCCCCCTCTCCCCCGGTGCACGTGGGCTGCGTGCTGGCGCGGGCGGAGGGGCGCGCGGGGGGGCTGGTGGGGCGGGCGGGGGCGGCGCTGCGCTCCCTGGCCCGGAAGGGGGCCCCGCCCCCGGGCCCCGCCCTCGTGCTCCACCTCCTCACCGACGCCCCCAGCAGGGAGGTCGCCGCCCGCCTCGCCCGGGAAGCCCTCCGCGGAGCCCCCTTCCCGCACCAGGTGAGACGGGACCCCCACCCCTCTGCCCCCCAGGGGACACCCCCCCCCCCCCAAGCCCTCCCAGCAGGTGGACGACACCCCCGGGGGGGAAGAAAGCAGGCGGGGTGGTTGTAGGTTTTCCGAGCTTCCTGACCGTGTCCCAGCAGAAGCATGCTCTCCTGACGTTTCGCCTGCACCTGTGGCTGCCAGTCCCGCGGGCCTACACCTCCTCTCTCCTTCCCAAGGAGCAGACCCCAGCGGGTGAAGAGCCTGAAACATCCCGCCACGCTCTGCTCTTTGGGAAGGGAACGATATTCCTGCTTCTTGGCAGAAGGGGGTTGGGCTGGAGGGTGGCCCAGGAGGGCTCTCCCAACTCTGGGATTCTAGGATTCTAAGGAGGGAGATGGTGTGGGAGGGGCAGATCTGCAATGGAACACAGCCTTCCCGCACCAGGTGAGCTGAGACCCCCCCCCCCCAAAGAGAGAGGGAGGGAGGGAGGGAGGGAAGGGGGGTGGGAGCCTGGCCCCCCCTCAGAGAAGAGTGGGAGTGAGAAGGGACCCCCAAGGGCCACCCAGCCCAGGAGGGAGGGAGGGAGGAAGGAAGGAAGGAAGTGGCTCCCTCTCCCCTTGGCCACCGCCCTCCAGGGAACACACCCCCACCAAAATTGAAGAGAGATATTGACTCTAAGCTGGAGTGTCTCCAAAGAAAGAGGGCGGCTAAAATGATCAAGGGTCTGGAGAACAAGCCCTATGAGGAGCGGCTTAAGGAGCTGGGCATGTTTAGCCTGAAGAAGAGAAGGCTGAGAGGAGACATGATGGTAGCCATGTATAAATATGAGAAGGGAATATGTCATAGGGAGGCTGACTAAATGATCAAGGGTCTGGAGAACAAGCCCTATGAGGAGCGGCTTAAGGAGCTGGGCATGTTTAGCCTGAAGAAGAGAAGGCTGAGAGGAGACATGATGGTAGCCATGTATAAATATGAGAAGGGAATATGTCATAGGGAGGCTGACTAAATGATCAAGGGTCTGGAGAACAAGCCCTATGAGGAGCGGCTTAAGGAGCTGGGCATGTTTAGCCTGAAGAAGAGAAGGCTGAGAGGAGACATGATGAGGGCCATGTGTAAATATGTGAGAGGAAGACACAGGAAGGAGGAGGGAGCAGATCAAGTGTCTGGAGAACAAGCCCTATGAGGAGCGGCTTAAGGAGCTGGGCATGTTTAGCCTGAAGAAGAGAAGGCTGAGAGGAGACATGATGAGGGCCATGTGTAAATATGTGAGAGGAAGACACAGGAAGGAGGAGGGAGCAGATCAAGTGTCTGGAGAACAAGCCCTATGAGGAGCGGCTTAAGGAGCTGGGCATGTTTAGCCTGAAGAAGAGAAGGCTGAGAGGAGACATGATGAGGGCCATGTGTAAATATGTGAGAGGAAGACACAGGAAGGAGGAGGGAGCAGATCAAGGGTCTGGAGAACAAGCCCTATGAGGAGCGGCTTAAGGAGCTGGGCATGTTTAGCCTGAAGAAGAGAAGGCTGAGAGGAGACATGATGAGGGCCATGTGTAAATATGTGAGAGGAAGACACAGGAAGGAGGAGGGAGCAGATCAAGGGTCTGGAGAACAAGCCCTATGAGGAGCGGCTTAAGGAGCTGGGCATGTTTAGCCTGAAGAAGAGAAGGCTGAGAGGAGACATGATGAGGGCCATGTGTAAATATGTGAGAGGAAGACACAGGAAGGAGGAGGGAGCAGATCAAGGGTCTGGAGAACAAGCCCTATGAGGAGCGGCTTAAGGAGCTGGGCATGTTTAGCCTGAAGAAGATAAGGCTGAGAGGAGACATGATAGCCATGTATAAATATGTGAGAGGAAGCCACAGGGAGGAGGAGGGAGCAATAAGGGTCTGGAGAACAAGCCCTATGAGGAGCGGCTTAAGGAGCTGGGCATGTTTAGCCTGAAGAAGAGAAGGCTGAGAGGAGACATGATGAGGCCCATGTATAAATAGGTGAGAGGAAGCCACAGGGAGGAGGGAGCAGATCAAGTGTCTGGAGAACAAGCCCTATGAGGAGCGGCTTAAGGAGCTGGGCATGTTTAGCCTGAAGAAGAGAAGGCTGAGAGGAGACATGATGAGGGCCATGTGTAAATATGTGAGAGGAAGACACAGGAAGGAGGAGGGAGCAGATCAAGGGTCTGGAGAACAAGCCCTATGAGGAGCGGCTTAAGGAGCTGGGCATGTTTAGCCTGAAGAAGAGAAGGCTGAGAGGAGACATGATGAGGGCCATGTGTAAATATGTGAGAGGAAGACACAGGAAGGAGGAGTGGTGTCAAACTGCATCAAGGGTCTGGAGAACAAGCCCTATGAGGAGCGGCTTAAGGAGCTGGGCATGTTTAGCCTGAAGAAGAGAAGGCTGAGAGGAGACATGATGAGGGCCATGTGTAAATATGTGAGAGGAAGACACAGGAAGGAGGAGGGAGCAGATCAAGTGTCTGGAGAACAAGCCCTATGAGGAGCGGCTTAAGGAGCTGGGCATGTTTAGCCTGAAGAAGAGAAGGCTGAGAGGAGACATGATGAGGGCCATGTATAAATATGTGAGAGGAAGTCACAGGGAGGAGGGAGCAGATCAAGGGTCTGGAGAACAAGCCCTATGAGGAGCGGCTTAAGGAGCTGGGCATGTTTAGCCTGAAGAAGAGAAGGCTGAGAGGAGACATGATGAGGGCCATGTATAAATATGTGAGAGGAAGCCACAGGGAGGAGGAGGGAGCAGATCAAGTGTCTGGAGAACAAGCCCTATGAGGAGCGGCTTAAGGAGCTGGGCATGTTTAGCCTGAAGAAGAGAAGGCTGAGAGGAGATATGATGAGGGCCATGTATAAATATGTGAGAGGAAGCCACAGGGAGGAAGGAGCAGATCAAGGGTCTGGAGAACAAGCCCTATGAGGAGCGGCTTAAGGAGCTGGGCATGTTTAGCCTGAAGAAGAGGAGGCTGAGAGGAGACATGATGAGGGCCATGTATAAATATGTGAGAGGAAGCCACAGGGAGGAGGGAGCAGATCAAGGGTCTGGAGAACAAGCCCTATGAGGAGTGGCTTAAGGAGCTGGGCATGTTTAGCCTGAAGAAGAGAAGGCTGAGAGGAGACATGATGATAGCCATGTATAAATATGTGAGAGGAAGCCACAGGGAGGAGGGAGGGAGCAGATCAAGGGTCTGGAGAACAAGCCCTATGAGGAGCGGCTTAAGGAGCTGGGCATGTTTAGCCTGAAGAAGAGAAGGCTGAGAGGAGATATGATGAGGGCCATGTGTAAATATGTGAGAGGAAGACACAGGAAGGAGGAGGGAGCAGATCAAGGGTCTGGAGAACAAGCCCTATGAGGAGCGGCTTAAGGAGCTGGGCATGTTTAGCCTGAAGAAGAGAAGGCTGAGAGGAGACATGATGAGGGCCATGTGTAAATATGTGAGAGGAAGACACAGGAAGGAGGAGGGAGCAGATCAAGGGTCTGGAGAACAAGCCCTATGAGGAGCGGCTTAAGGAGCTGGGCATGTTTAGCCTGAAGAAGAGAAGGCTGAGAGGAGACATGATGAGGGCCATGTATAAATATGTGAGAGGAAGCCACAGGGAGGAGGGAGCAGATCAAGGGTCTGGAGAACAAGCCCTATGAGGAGCGGCTTAAGAAGCTGGGTATGTTTAGCCTGAAGAAGAGAAGGCTGAGAGGAGACATGATAGCCATGTATAAATATGTGAGAGGAAGACACAGGGAGGAGGAACAGATCAAGGGTCTGGAGAACAAGCCCTATGAGGAGCGGCTTAAGGAGCTGGGCATGTTTAGCCTGAAGAAGAGGAGGCTGAGAGGAGACATGATGAGCCATGTATAAATATGTGAGAGGAAGACACAGGGAGGAGGAGGGAACAGATCAAGGGTCTGGAGAACAAGCCCTATGAGGAGCGGCTTAAGGAGCTGGGCATGTTTAGCCTGAAGAAGAGAAGGCTGAGAGGAGACATGATGAGGGCCATGTATAAATATGTGAGAGGAAGTCATAGGGAGGAGGAGGGAGCCAGATCAAGAGTCTGGAGAACAAGCCCTATGAGGAGCGGCTTAAGGAGCTGGGCATGTTTAGCCTGAAGAAGAGAAGGCTGAGAGGAGACATGATGATAGCCATGTATAAATATGTGAGAGGAAGCCACAGGGAGGAGGGAGCAAGCTTGTTTTCTGCTTCCCTGGAGACTAGGACGCGGAACAATGGCTTCAAACTACAAGAGAGGAGATTCCATCTGAACATGAGGAAGAACTTCCTGACTGTGAGAGCCGTTCAGCAGTGGAACTCTCTGCCCCGGAGTGTGGTGGAGGCTCCTTCTTTGGAAGCTTTGAAACAGAGGCTGGATGGCCATCTGCCAGGGGTGATTTGAATGCAATATTCCTGCTTCTTGGCAGAAGGGGGTTGGACTGGAGGATGGCCCAGGAGGTCTCTTCCAACTCTTTGATTCTATAACTCTAAAAGCATTCTCTCCTGACGTTTCGCCTGCACCTGTACTGCCAGTCCCACAGGCCTACACCATCTCTCTCCTTCCCAAGGAGCAGAGCCTGGCGGGTGAGCAGCCTGGAACTTCATCCCGGCTTCATCTCAGTTCCCAGACAGATGTTGACTCTCCTTAATTGGAGTTGGTAAACGAAAGGAGCTTGGGTTGACTTCCTTCTAATGTAAGGAACCTTGTAAACATTTCCTTGAGGAGTCATTGTCTTTGATTAATGTAGACACATTGTTTCCCCCCAAAAGTTCAACAGTTCCTCATTGCCACAGGTCTTATCAGCATTCTCACACGTATACATTCAGGCTCATCCATACATCACGTTACATCTCACTGGAGATGCAAATCTGCCAATACACAGTTCCAAAAGGCCAAAATACGTCCTCTTTCCCTAAGAACAATGCCAAGGATCAGATCCCTGCTTTTCCTACAGCAGAACATGGCTCCCAAACGCACTCCTTCCTCTTCCCTAAGAACTGTGGCAATGATGAACTGTTGAACTTTTGGGGGAAAAGCAATGTGTTTACATTAATCAGTAACTCTTCAAGTTAAGGAAATGTTTACAAGGTTCCTTACATTAAGAAGGAAGTCAACACAAGCTCCTTACGTTTACCAACTCCAATTCAGGAGAGTCAACCTCTGTCCGGGAACTGAGAGGAAGCCAGGCTGCGCTCCATTGCAGATCTGCCACATGCATACACCATCTCTCCTTAGAATCATAGAATCAAAGAGTTGGAAGAGACTTCATGGGCCACCCAGTCCAACCCCATTCTGCCAAGAAGTAGGAATATTGTATCCTTCCCAAGGAGCAGAGCGTGGCGTTAACAGCTCCGCGCTTTGTCACACCTTAGAATTATTAGATTTGAGTCTTTTATGGGAACATTTTTGGCTGATGTTGTTCCAAAGGTGTAAATGAATGACAGTTGTTTTTCCAGCCTGAAGCATCCTGACTTCCTCTCAGTTCCCAGACAGATGTTGACTCTCCTTAATATGTGTTGGTAAACGAAAGGAGCTTGTGTTGACTTCCTTCTTAATGTAAGGAACCTTGTAAACGTTTCCTTAACTTGAAGAGCCGTTGTCTCTGATTAATGTATCAAGAGAGGTCTACCCCTCTGTTTAGGGAGCTCCACTGGCTGCCATTTATTTTCCGAGCCCAATTCAAG